AAGGGAGGGAGGGAGGGAGGGAGGAAGGAAGGAGGGAAGGAAAAGAGGAAAGAAATGAAGAAGGAACTTACTTTATTGCTTGATTTATTGAAAAATTTCATTTTGAGTTGAGATAGGATCATATCTCAAACATTAGGATATGTTTTATTTGCACTAAGCTGTCTTTTCCAATCTTAGAAAATATTTAATTTTGAAGGTTTCTTCGTGTGCATGTGGCTGATGCACATGGTCATATTTGTCATTGGTTTTATAAACATCACACATTTATCATGTATACAAAGATGTTAATAATAGTGGTGGCTAGAGCACATCTATAAAACAACTCTACAATGTTTATTGGTATATAAAACATTTGGGAGACAAAAAGAAAACCAAGCAGATATTTCTTTCCTTCACAGCATCTAAATCTGATTAAAGGGGCGCCTGGGTGGCTCAGTTGGTTAAGCGACTGCCTTCGGCTCAGGTCATGATCCTGGGGTCCTGGGATCGAGCCCTGCATCAGGCTCCCTGCTCAGCCAGAAGCCTGCTTCTCCCTCTCCCATTCCCCCTACTTGTGTTCCCCCTCACGCTGTCTCTCTCTTTCTCTGTCAGTTAAATAAATAAATAAAATCTTAAAAAAAATAAATTAAAGATACAAAAGAGAATGTTTCCTTTACTTTTCCTGTCCTATCAGAAATTAACTGGGGTGCCTGGGTGGCTCAGTCGTTAAGCGTCTGCCTTCGGCTCAGGTCATGATCTCAGGGTCCTGGGATTGAGCCCCGCATCGGGCTCCCTACTTGGTGGGAAGCCTGCTTCTCCCTCTCCCACTCCCCCGCTTGTGTTCTGCTCTCACTAACTCTCTCTCTTTGTCAAATAAATAAATAAAATCTTAAAAAAAAAAATTAACTGATCACGGGGCACATGGTGGCAGAGTTGGTTAGGTGTCTGACTCTTGGTTTTGGCTCAGGTCGTGATCTCAGGATCATGAGACTGAGCCCCCTGTCAGGCTCTATGCTCAGCGTGGAGTCTGCTTGAAATTCTCTCTCCCTCTCCCTCTGCCCCTCCCCCTGCTCTCTCTCTGAAAGGAAGGAAGGGAGAAAAAGAAAGAGAGAGAGAGAGAGAGAGAAAGAAAGAAAGAAAGAAAGAAAGAAAGAAAGAAAGAAAGAAAGAAAGAAAGAAAGAAAGAAAGAAAGAAAAGAGAAAGAAAAGAGAAAGAAAGGAAGAAGAAGGAAGGAAGAAAAGGAAAGAAAGAAGAAAGAGAAAGATTAACTGGTTACAAAGTAATTATGAAGCACTAAATAAGAAAGAAAAAGTTAATGCAGAATGAAAACTTGGGAAGTACATAGTGAAACTATAAATAAAGAAATTGGGACTTTTCAGAGAAGGTTTTCTCAAGTGAAAAGTGTGAACTGGAAGAGGGAGGCAGTATGATGTAAGCAGAGGAATTATAAACATTAGGACAGCATGTAAAATCTGTGACACTCATTCTCTTTCCCATTTCATAATTTAATAACTAATTAAAAATTAAACATTTGTTTATATGTTGGATGGTGATTTGCAAAGCCAGGCATTGTTTAAACTGATTATTGAAAGAGAAGGAAAATTAGTGGCAAGCATGCTTCTATAAATGATATAACTGGAAAGAAAAGGAATTCAAATAATTTCATGAGACGAGCTACCACCAAATAATTCCTTGGAGAGGAATGGCATACTTTTTAATTAGTTCCCTTAGTTACTCTGCAGGCTTTCACCATATGAATCTAACAGGTAATTTGTGGGTGTAGAATTCTACATTGTAGAAATTCTACATTGTAGAATTTATCTTCAAGCTTTATAAACAAGAAGAATATGGGAATAAGGGCCAATATGAATAACTTATCTGTAAAACTGAAATAAAGGCATTCTACGAATGGCAGCATAGAAGCTGCCACATAGTGGTAAAAAAGATGGGATCTCAAATCATATAGCTTATGCTTGAATCGTATTTCCCCTCATTGGCTATGTGACTGTACCCAACTTCTTTCTGGTTGTGGGGGTTTTAATGAAATGATAGATAAAGTGCTAAGTACAATGTGTAGCTTCTATTAATTATTAATATCTTGATTGTCTTTTCATTGTTTAATACTGTCTACTAACTTCATAATTTTATAAAATCAAAGATCTTAAGTAACAGTGTTTTCATGCTTAAGCTGTTAGGTTTAAATGAATAACATAGTAGCACTCTTTATCCTTTTTAGTCATATTCTAGAGTGTTAAGCAGACTCCAAGCTAGTACAGAGCCCGACATGGGGCTCGATCTCACCACCCTGAGATCACGACCTGAGCCGAAATTTAAGAGTCAGAGGCTTAACTGACTGAGTCACCAAGGTGCCCCAACACCAACTAGATTTTTAAAAGTCATTTAACCGGGCTCCTGGGTGGCTTAGTTGGTTAAGTGTCGCCTTTGGCTTGGGTCATGATCCCGAAGTCCTGGGACTGAGCCCCAATTTGGGCTCCCTGCTCCACTGGGAGCCTGCTTCTCCCTCTGCCTGCTGCCCCCTCTGCTTGTGCTCTCTCTCTTGCTCTCTGTCAAGTAAATAAATAAACAGAAAAAGTCATTTAACCTAAACAGCACTTACTTTTTTTTTTTTAAAGAGCACTTATTTGACAAAAGCTATAATCTTAGATTTACTTCATATGTTTTCTATTGTGCATCAACTGTAAAACCTAAAATCAAAGTAGCTTTTTTCACATGGGTATTCCATTCTCTCTACTAAACTATGGGACTCTAGAACATTCAGTTAATATATTCATTTCTTCATACTTTGTGTTTCTATTGATTATTAATTAGGTTGCCATAAAAGTAAAATCTAACAATATAAAAGAAGAAAATTTTAATACTCTCACAAATATGTCCAGATGGTATTGTATGTGAAACATTTTAATGCTAATACTTGAACAGTACCATAAACTTGAAGTGTTTCTTTTTGCTAAAAAGAAATTGGCTGTTTTTCTTAAGTATTTGGAAAAGTATTTCATAAGTGTTTTTCCTGTACATCCCATTAATTATTTAGTAATACTGAAATCTTTTAGTTTTAAAATATTTTAAAACTTATGGCTAGCATGCTATGTTAATTGATTTTACCTAGTATACATAATATTAGAGGATGAGATACTTTTTATCTGTGTCCTTTTTGTCATTGCAATGTTATTCATTCATCAGTCAGTGGACATTCACCAAGCACCAGTTACTATAATAGTGGCAATAGTAATAATAATAGCAATAATCCTTTACTTTTACTGAATAGTCACTATTTCATTAAATCTAATGCCATTAGTTATAAAATGCACATTTCCTTTTCTTTTCGAGGTGGGGGAGGGGCCGAGGGAGAGAGAGAGAGAGAATCTTTTTTTTTTTTTTTTTAAATATTTATTTATTTTTAATGAGAGAGAGAGAGCACATGAGAGGGGGGAGGGTCAGAGGGAGAAGCAGACTCCCTGCCGAGCAGGAAGCCCGATGCGGGACTCGATCCCGGGACTCCAGGATCATGACCTGAGCCGAAGGCAGTCGCTTAACCAACTGAGCCACCCAGGCGTCCCGAGAGAGAGAATCTTAAGCAGACCCCAACCCCAGTGCAGAGCCCAACGCATGGCTCAATCTTGGGCTTCTGAGATCATGACCTGGGCCAAAAGCAAGAGTCAGACACCACTGACTAAGCCACCGAGGCGCACCTAAAATGCACATATTTAATATGCTGCTGAGAGAGAAAATGTTGCTAAACAAACTATTACACACCATCCATCCATTGTAAAATGCACCCTAACTTTAAAAAGGGGAAAACTAATTTTTTGAATTGATGACATAGGGCACCTGACGTGTGAATTCATTTAACTACACCAATCCTATGAGATAGGTGCCATCTTTATCCTCATTCTTTTTTTTTTCTTTTTTAAGATTTTATTTTTGGGGGGAGCACCTGGCTGACTCAGTCAGTAGGGCATGTGACTCTTAATCTTAGGGTCATGAATTTGAGCCCTACTTTGGGGGTAGACTTTACTTAATAAAAAAAAAATTTTTAATTCTAATTTTAATTTTAATTTTAAATGTAATCTCTAACCCCAATGTGGGGCACAAACTCACAACCCTGAGATCAAGAGTCTCATGCTCCACTGACTGAGATAGCCAGGCATCCCTCATTTCTTACAGATAAGGAAGCTCGGCCCCAGAGAGGTTTTGTAACTTTCCCAAGGTCATGCAAATATCAAATAGATTTGAGAGCAAAGATCCTAACTCCACCTTCAACTACTACACTATATATATATTTTAAAGATTTTATTTACACTATATTGCCTTCAGCCAAAGTGATTAAAACAATCACTTATTTTCAGTAATTCATAGGAAAAGGAGTCAGTTTAATAATTTATGATATGATAAATTCTTATTAGAGAGATGCATAAGAGAGTATGGGGATGTAGAGGAGATGGTTTAACTGTTTCTGAGGAGGTGTGATATGTACCAAGTCCTCTTCTGTCTTTCCTATGACAAGCAGATATTGTAGGTTAAAAAAACATGTTCAGGTTCTAACCTTTCTGTGTTGCTGTGGCTTTGTTTTAATCTTTGATTCTTCCTGGTGCAGCCAAAAAGCAATTCAAAATACCATTACACTCTTTAAAAAACTTGTAATGTCTACACAGTATATAAACATCAAGATTCACTAGATGTTTCTTATTAAAGTGAATTTCTGAAAAAATTTAAAAGTTCAAATTAGGGGCACCTGGGAGGCTCAGTCAGTTAAGCATCAGCCTTCAGCTCAGGTCATAATCCCAGGGTCCTGGGATCAAGCCCAGAGCCCTGCTAAGCGGGGAGCCTGCTTCTCCCTCTCCCTCTGCCCCTCCCCACTGCTCATGGGTGTGTGTGTGTGGGGGGGGGGTGTGAATAAATTAATACAATAAATTAATAAAATCTTTTTAAAAATTTAAAAAAATTTTTAAAAAGTTGAAATTAGCTAAGTAAATGAAATTTAAATTTAATGTTTTCACAGGGGCTGGAGAAAATTTGGAGAATACAATGGCAGCCTTTCAGCAGTAAGTATATAAAAAGGTATTCTTTTATAGTTTATCTTTGAAGTGATGATTCACAAAGTGAAGATAGTATACATGTTGCATCCACTTGTTACAGTTGTTTCTAATTTATTAAAATAGCTTTTTTTTTTTTTTTTTTTTAAGCTAGTCTGAAGTGTTACAGAGTGTCTGGCTTCTGGATAACTGAAAAACTAGATCAGAGTTGTGGGTAATCAAAAGATACTATAGTTCTAAAGCTGAAAGAAGGCTTTTGTAACAAGGAACACACTGTGTAATGCTAATTAGTCTTGGAGAGAAAGAGAAAAGGAGAAAATGAAACAACTGTTAACATTGGTTGCTGTTTATGAATAAGATTATGTGTCTGCTCTGTAATTCCTCTACAGACCTGAACCTGTGATCTGGTCTTTCTTGTTTGAAGCCTTATGAGTGTTGGTCTTATTTTTTCGAATAAGGTAAATTAGATTATCCCCAATGTTTCAGTTATTCATATCTCCTACTGATCTCTTTTAGAGCACCTCACAGAGAAGCAGCAGGAGAGACAGGAATGAAAGCTGATTGATACCTTGTTCTCTGTCTTAGAATAAATGATCATTAGTCTGTGGTAATGGTGAAAACACTGTTTTCTTTTCCCTGAAAAATAAAGCAGAGGATATGAAAAGTTAAACTCCATGGAAGACATTACCTTTCCATATTTAGTAAGAAAAATGTTTTCTGACACATTTGTTGAACCATTTTTATGCATACAGTTGGGACTGAGATATCAGAATTTGGCTTAAGTTTTTGTTCTGTTTCTTATCATTTAAAATGACTTAGAATTTAGGGGAGACTGGCTGGCTCAGTTGGTAGAGCATGTGACCCTTGATCTTGGGGTTGTCAGATTGAGCCCCACATTGGGCATAGAGATTACTTAAAAATAAATAAAATAAAAATAACAAAGACACCTGAGAGTTTATTTTTCCTGTTATCAGGTCCAAATGTACTGCTTCTCCATATTCTAGTTTCATCTAAATCCTGTCCTCCTGTGTTTGTCATTGCTTATTCTTTGTGTTCTCTATTACAATGCCTTTGACTATAATCCCCAAATTCTCTAAAACCCTAAAAATGCAAAAACTTTCCTCCTGTCTATGGAAAAAACTTTCCAGATTCTGAAACAAAATAATTTAAATTACTTTAAGTCAAAATAAAATAAAATAAATAAATTACTTTAAGTTATCTTCTCTACTGAGATCATATATGTAGGTATCTTTAGATATCTATATAATATATAAATCTAGATATATATAATTATATATAACATATATAATGCATATATATATATATATAATTTTGTTTGTGCAGTTTACACTGAGACACATACACACATACACATACCTCCCCCCCATATACTCTGTTTTATCAAATATTTGTTCCCTGGGATGTAGTGATATATATTACCTGGGGAGAAAATGCTTATAACTTTGAGTGATTTTAGCATTCTTTATATATATATATATTTTAAAGATTTTATTTATTTATTTGACAGAGAGAGACACAGTGAGAGAGGGAACACAAGCAGGGGGAGTGGGAGAGGGAGATGTAGGCTCCCTGCGATGCGGGGCTCTATCCCAGGACCCCCGGGATCATAACCTGAGCGGAAGGCAGACCCTTAACAACTGAGCCACCCAGGCGCCCCTGCATTCTTTATATTTAAGGTATATTATTTAGTAAGTTTTTCCCCATATTTTTTGTTAAATTTTTACCAACCACCCTTATTTATGAAATTAAAATACTCAATTATATAATAAACTTTCTAAGAATGGTACATTTGTATAATAAATTATTTCTAAGGATGGGGTATAAATATTTTTATCTTTGAAGATTTTGATCATCTGAAAAGTTTTTTGGTATTTAGAGAATGTCTTACTTAGATGGTTTTTACTTGCTAGATAGAACATTACATTTCCCATCTTCAGCAGGTTTTTTTTTTTTTTTTAAGATTTATTTATTTGAGAGACAGGTCACAAGTGTGTGTGAATGGGGGGAGGGGCAGAGGGAGTGACACTCAGGCAGATTCCTCACTGAGCATGAAGGCCCAGTTGGGGCTCCATCTTGTGACCCTGAGACCTGAGCCAAAATCAAGAGTCTGACACTTAACAAGCTGAGCCACCCAGGCACCCCCTGATTTTAACCAAAAATTCGTTGTTGGTGGTTTTTGTGTTTTATCTTATGCATCAATGCTCTTGCTATCGACAAATACTTTTGTTTTCATTTACAAATATTCTATTAGTAGAATATTTTAACTGCTGGGATACTTAGGAGGTTTTTTGTTTTTGTTTTTGTTTTTTTAATACCTGCTTCATGAGCAAAAAGAAAAAAATCATGTAAACATACTATTTTCAAGGTGCAGTATATTAAGAATGTGGAGTTATAATACATAATTGACAAAAGACAGATACTGTGCTTAAGTATGGTATATCTTTGATAGGGAGAAATAGTAAAAATAAAATGAGCAGCTAAAACTTAGATCTTATTTATGTGCATGTGTAGATAAACACTTCACAAAGCATACATATTATAACATGGAAGGGAAAACAAGAAGATATTACAGAAAGTATAAATAATTGGTGGGGAAGCCTGGTTAAGATTAATCAGAAAATTGAAAAGATACCAGGACTAGAAGACCATTTGGTACAGAGGAAGAAGCAATTTTTATTTTTTTATTATTTTTAAAGATTTTATTTATTTGAGAGAGAGAGCAAACACGTGCTGGGGGGAGAAGCAGAGGGAAAGGGATAAGCAGACTCACCTGCTGAGCAGGGAGCCTGACTCAGGGCTCGATCCTGGGATCATGACCTGAGCCAAAGGCAGACGCTTAACTGAATAAGCCACCCAGGCACCCCAAGAAACTATTTTTAAAATGTGAAATGTTTGGGGCACCTGGCTGTCTCAGTCCAGAGAACATGCAACTCTTGATCTTGGGGTTGTGAGTTCAAGTCCCACGTTGGGTATAGAGATTACTTTAAAAAAAAAAGGGAGAAAAAAAACATGAAATGTTTGAGATTAAGATGTGAGGGTAGGGATGCCTGGGTGGCTCAGTCAGTTAAGCGTCTGCCTTCGGCTCAGGTCATGATCCCAGGGTCCTGGGATCAAGTCCCACATCAGGCTCCCTGCTCAGCGGGGAGCGTGCTTCTCCCTCTCCCTCTGCCTGCCTTGTGTTCTCTCTCTGTGTGTCAAATAAATAAATAAAATCTTAAAAAAAAAAAAAAAAGATGTGAGGGTATGTAGACAAGATACATCTGGGAAATTGAAAGGACTTTAAGAGTGTATGGAAAATTAATTCATTACAGTGGGTCTAAAGAAGTAATTAGGACTGGGGCACCTGGGTGGCTCGGTCAGTTATGCCTCTGCCTTTAGCTCAGGTCATGATCTTGGTGTCCTGGGATTGAGCCCCACATTGGGCTTCCTGCTCAGCGGGCAGTCGGCTTCTGCCTCTCCCTCTGCCCCTTCCCCTGCTAATACTGTCTCTCTCTCAAATTAATAAATAAGATCTTTAAAAAAATTTAGAAGGGCGCCTGGGTGGCTCAGTTGGTTAGGCGACTGCCTTCAGCTCGGGTCATGATCCCAGGGTCCTGGGATCGAGTCCCGCATCGGGCTCCCTGCTCTGTGGGGAGCCTGCTTCTCCCTCTCCCACTCCCCCTGCTTCTGTTCCCTCTCTTGCTGTGTCTCTCTCTGTCAAATAAATAAATAAAATCTTTAAAAAAAAAAAAAATTTAGAAAAAAAAAGAAGTAATTAGGACTGAAGAGAAATAATCATATCTCACAATTAATTTATTCCTTCCTGGGGCGCCCGGGTGGCTCAGTCAGTTAAGGTTCTGCCTTTGGCTTAGGTCATGATCCCGGGGTCCTGAGATCGAGCCCCACATTGGGCTCCCTGCTCCACGGGAAGCCTGCTTCTACCTCTCCCACTGCCCCCCTGCTTGTGTTCCCTCTCTTGCCTTGTCTCTCTCTGTCAAATAAATAAATAAATAAAATCTTAAAAAAAAAATTCCTTCCTGCCTTCCCTCCCTCCATCCTTCCTTCCTTCCCTCCCTCCCTCCTTCCTTCTTCCTTTTCTTTCTCCCTCTCTTCCTTTCTCCCTCCCTCTCTCTCCTTTTCTTTCTTTCTTTATCTTTTTCTTTTTCTTTCTTTCTTTCTCTCTTTCCCTCTTTCTTTTTCTTTTTGTATGTCACAATTTATAAAAAGTCCTGTAATGTGGTTTATAAAATGCTTTCACAAACACCTTAGGTTATGAATATGGCTCTTTTGTGATTCCTTTGAGAACAAGAATCTTTCCTTATTGATCTCTCAACCCTTAACACCTAGTTCTGATGCTAATAGACTCTCACTAGTTACTTACTAAAGGAGATAATGGAATGGGGCACTCAGGAACAAAGCAGAACATTAACAGAAGACAAATGAAGGAGAGAGAACCCCATCCATAATAAGCACAAAACCAGAAACTAAGGAATTGTAACACACACACACACACACACAGTCACTAAGACCTTGAGTATGTAAAATCTAGCTCTTAAGAGCTCATAAAACTAGGTTTTTAAACCAGGCTGCCTTTGTAAATACCCACAGGACAATTTGATCCCTGTGGTATTAACATGAATGGTGAAAGAAAGAAACAAATTGTTTTAGCAGTAGCTGGAAGTACAAGTTGGCAGACAGTCAAAGTAATTAATCAGTGACCTGGTTCTCATGATACATTTTTCAGACTATCTAATTAATACAATAGTAATTTCTCATATGTAAAATGGGAATAGTAACAAACCTCAGTGGTGTGAGGAATAAATGAGATTCAAATAAATTCCTTAATTTGGGTCTGTTACTGTTTTTGGATTTACGATTTTTATTTTTTCCAAATTTTTATTTAAATTCTGGTTACTTAACATATAGTGTATAGGGACTGTTTAAAATCGTTATGTATTGTTTCTGTGGAATTTCAAGTAATTTCACATCTTTTAGAGCTAGAGTTTTCT